TGGGGCAGCTCTGTTTACGTTTCCAGTTCTGGGCGGCCTGTGCCAACGATCAGGTGCTGGAGCTGGCAGGAGAGAGGAGGCCCAGGGTGTGCACAGGCACACCCATGCGCGCATACACACGCACGCACACGCACCAAGGCAGGAGCTTCCAGGCTGCAGAACCCAGCTCCAGCACCCATCTTTCCCTGGTTTTCTGGGGGTTTTTTGGGGGGGTGGTGTTGAGGATCGAACTCAGGACCTACAATTGCAAGGCAGGCACCGTGCCACTGCGCCGATCCCCAGCCTTTCTTGTTCCGGACTGAGCAACTTCCCCCGAGGCTTGGGGCCTCCAGGGCCAGACAGGATGGGGAAACTGAGCCACTTGCCCTTCGCAGCATCTGGGGACTCTGGCCTCTGCCAAGGCAGGGCTGAGTCAGCCCATACAGAGCAGGAATCCGCCACCCCAAACCTCAGAGTCAGAAGGCTGTGGGGGCGGGCGGGGACCCCAGCCAGCCAGGGGCCTGTAACTGCTTCCAAGCAGACCACCCACGGCTGGGGCCTGGCCTCCGAGCCCTACTGGAAGTCCTGTTTGGTAGCTGCCTTGAGTGTCTCCGGCTGCACTCGCAGCTTGGTGGTTCTCCTAGGGGTCAGCTTCTGACGACGAGGATGCCTTTAGGGTGGGTGTTCTGGGGTTCTGAACTCGGAGGTGTGGGAGAGGGGAGGGAAAGGCTGCACCTCCGCCCGCCCCCCATTTAGGGAAGGAGAGGAGGGACCCATGCCCTCTGGAGATACTTCGGGGAAAGGGGGGCGAGACGTGACCCTGGGAGACCCTAGTCTGGGGCACAAGGGAGGTGAGGGCAACAGGAGGGGACCGGGACTCAGGAAAGCGGTCCGGGCACAAGGGGGAGTTGTATCCTGCGGGCCGGATGGCGCCTGAGGCGCACGCTGTCTGCCCTCCCCCACCCGACTCAGACCTTGGCACCCGCGGACCCCGCCCTCTACTCTGGGGACACAACACCCCGCCTCCCGCAGCCATCTGGGTCTGCCAGGCATCAAGGTTACACCGGGGTCGAAGCCAAACACCCTCCCAGAGCTTTTCCCCATCTTCCGTGCAGGGCCATCATAAATCCCCCTTTGAGGCCTGGCCAGGGCTTTTCATGGGCCCGGGACCCAGCTCTGCCCCAGCAGGCGCCGGTTTCGGGCTGGATGGGGTTGGTGCCCGCCCAGACCTTCACTCACCCAGAGGTGGGCAGCGCGGGTGCAGCATTTTTAGGTGGTGAAAGGAGCGCGCGCTGGGCAAGGGAGGCCCGGGTCCGCTTAGACCCCAGCATCCTCATCCACATCGTGGCCTGCGCCTCCAGCCCCTCCACTGCCCTTCTGTGCTCTCATCAGCACACACTGAAGGAAGGTGCAGATGGGGTCACCCCGGGGAGGCGCAGGGGTCCAGAGGGAGATGGGAAGGATGGGCCTCACGACCCTGCCCCACCCCACCCCTTTTTCTTGGTACTAAGGATCGAACTCGGGACCTTGCGCTTTCAGGTAGGCAGAGGAACCACTGAGCTAAATCCCTGGCCCTCACTTCTTTTTTTTTTTTCCTTTTTTCGATAAGCGTCTTGCTGCGCTGTCCTCCTGCCTCAGCCTCTTGAGTGCTGGAACGACAGCCGTGCACCCCACAAACTTTCCTTTCTGTCGTCCCCCCCACAACAGGTCCCTCTTTGCATCTACTTTTCTTCCTTCCCAAGCAAAATGGGGTCCCCACCACCACTGTGCAGGCATTGCCCCCACCTGCTCCCCTTTTCCCTGGGGAGACCCGCAGAAGGAACCCGCAGGTGGGGTCTCCACAACGTGAATCACCAGCCGGCTCGAGTTCCCACACTTTATCTCAATACAGTTATCGCGAGAGTCCCACGGACTCGATGGCATCCTCCGCACATGCGTCGTCTTTCGCGGGGCTGTCCAAGCCGGACCGTGGGTACCGTCGGGCAGCGGACGGTGTGGCCATCGTCTTGCTGGCCAGGATGAGGTAGTGTCACACGCAGGCGCACTCTCGCGCCGACAGCTCTTGCACAGTGTGGTACCGGCTGTGCACGTCCATGAAAGACACCTCGTCTTCGTAGG